CACAACACAGGAGATGTAGCTACTGTCAGAGGGCCTTAAATACCAGCCTGACAAAACATAGTTATCAATTTAACCAGCCCAGTAAACCATTTCAAGAGTGTTGTGAGTCTTCAGAGAAAAGCAGAAGGAGCATTCAAACAACCATAGATACAAGAAATATCTCATTCAACGATTACCAGTCTTGGGCCACAAAGTACCTCAACTCGATTCTGTGCTTCAATAAATCATCTTCCAAATTGTGATGCGTATCTGCATCCCTCCTGTGCAGGTTTGAGACATATATGCCAATTGTATTCTTGCCATACATACTTGTCACATGCTCCCACAGATTAGCTCTTTCTCATAGAAGCCAATTCTATGTAATAATTCAAAATATTTTCCCAATCTTGCGCAACCTCACTTGCTCTTCTATTATGAAAAGTAAAAGTTTATTTTCACTTTTCACTCTATCATTTGCTTCTATTGTCAGACTGCTTTGTACTGACCAACTCTTTAAACTGGCATTACATTGCAATCAACTGGCTTTTTTAAAGCCTCTATTATTTTCAATCCATCATCTCTTTGACACCTCACATTTCCAAATTCTTAAACAGGCCTCCCAGATACAAGCAACTTTCTTAGAGATGCTCATTTGATTTCAACTCTTTCCACCTACCTTTTCATTGCAACAGAAGGACTCACTTTTTTGTTCTTTCTTTCCGTGGGCATTCTTCTTATTGTAGACACACGAACTTTTTTTTACTGCTCGTTAATATAAACTAGAGTCCCCAGACACAATACCCTCACTTTTGATGCAAAGATCCTTTTCATTAGCTTCCTCATTCATCTTTACTTTCTTCATTACAGTAGGAGAACACTTAAGACTTTCACAGGTTTCTTCTTCCAAGCATATTAAATTGAATTATATTTCAGTATGAAGGGAGTAAAAAGATGAATTCAGAATCTTGAGATAGGGCTTCCAGATGTAACTTAATTTCCAAATCATCTTTGACTTTCATCACTTCTATTTGCAGTTGCCAAAACTAGAATCATTTAATCAAATGCAGATACAAGCTTTATGGCTTCCAGTAAAGAGGGAAAGCCCTGAGATTAATTTTGTTAGCAGGTTTTTTTCTTCCTCCAGTGAGGTTACAGAAGTCCAGCTTTGCACACCTCCAGCTGGAAAAAAATCCATCAAAAAACCTACACAAAAAACATCCATGACACACCATCAACCTTAAAAACAGCAGTTAGTAACACCCAGTTTAAGATTACAATAACGGAAAATTAATTATTTCTCAAAATTTTTCAATATTATTCTGCATAGTAAGATTATCTTCTTTTCTTCCCTCCCTTCTAATTTTTCTGCTACCCTTTCTTCTCCCCACTCACCATAGCCAGGAAAGAGATTGTATCCCAGAGGCTGCCAACCCTGTCTTGCTGCTAATTACATGTGCTCACAACCCTGCCTTGCTGCTAATTACATGTGCTCACAGCACCTACTGAGCATTCAGGATATCTGGCCTGACTTCCAGGGGCATGGCACAAGTGCCTACTCCCACTCAATCCATGAAAAATTGAAGTCAAACCAGTCAGGCTCCAACATCCACATTTGGTTTCCAACATCAGAGAAACAAGAGTACATCACACCCAGAAGAAATGAACTCTTGGAGTAAACCAAAGTTGTCAGAAGCAAATAGGCAACAAAGCTGATCCCTGGATGCTACCACAGGCTAATCCTGCTGTTTTAGCAATTCCTTTCTTCTGCTGACTGAAGAGTAGGAATGAGCATAACAAATCCACACCTGCCACAGGACAGTAACATCATCCTTTGTCAAGTGTTAGCGACACATGCTTTACACACTGCAACAAGCTGCCTTCCATGCTATCACCTACACATTTACTATGACTCAGAACGTAGGGAGTTTGAACAATTTGTTTTTACAGTCAGCAGCCGATCATCAACCATGCAAGTTATTGAAATACATTTTCTGTCAAGAAGAGGAGGAAAGATGCCAATGACATAACATTTTAATGAGAAGATCTTAGTTTTGCCTTGAATTTGTGGCTTTCTGGCTCCTGCTACTTTTAAGTTCAGTCCCCTTGAGGCTGACAAAATAAGTACCATAGCTTCCTATAACCAGACTGGTAGAGATTTTGTAAAACTAATCAGTAACAGACGGTATGGCTAAAACACTACAAGCCACAGCATTATCTTACAAGAGGCAAGTATTTACACAATTACTTTGTTTTAACTGCAAGGTCATATTTGTAGAACCAGATAAACAGTAACATCAAACAAATACTGAGGTTCTTGAAGTATAAATCACAGACAGAAGGCAATCATTTAATCATGCTGGAAAACACCTTACACAGCAGCTGCCACTGCACTGAAGAATTCCACTCCGCTGAAGTTACAGGCACACATTACTACAGGAAGCAGAAAGTGGCACTGTGAGGACGCACTGTACAGGCTTAAAGCTCTGTTCAAACAAACTTCAGACCTTCATCATGCACCTAAAACCCAAGAATGCAAAGCCAATTATATGTGCAATATATGCAGTTATATTCTTCATATAGTATACTTTAGTGACTTTATTTTCAATTGCCAAGGTTGCCAAGGAAACACTGAGTTGCTAACTGCAAGTCCAACAAACTGACCCCAAGACCTGAACAGGCTTATTTCTCACACAAACTACCACCTGCATTAATGGTGGTATACAAACCATCAAGAGTTAGTTTACACAATCTAATCTGCCATCTAATGAGAGCATAACTGGCAGCTACAGTGTCTGCACAGCATGATTTACTATCGATTCAAGTACAGAGATACAGCTGGGCACAGGCAGGACAGCCCTGTATCACCTTAGTCTCTGTAGGAATAATGGAAAAAATATTGAACAATCCAAGTAGTCTAGCAACACGAGTCTACAACCTGCTAGGATTCATTAGGCCTGTCCCATTTCCATTGGCTCCAGACTACTATTGCTCAGTTTAAGAGTACACATACATTTGTAGGGAGTTTATCCTAGGGCCTGAGATGCACAAACCGATGTTCTGAGCATTAGGACTTCCACTTAGTTTGAACAGAAGGGATGAAAACATACACAAGCTAGATTTATAAATAAGGAGTTGGGAAACCTGATCCCCCCAGTTCTGCTCACAGCTCTGCCACAGATTCCATATGGCCTTTGCCAGTTACTTAATCTTCTACCTGCTGAGCACAATGAACACTCGGATGACCTCATCAGGAGAAGGACAAAGTAGTCCAGAGGACGATCCGATGCACAAGCTGAAGCAAACCAGTTTACTGAGGACACCTGATGCAGAACCTTAGTCAGACTGCCAGAGCTGTGAGGAAGGGAACATAAGTCTCTCACATGATCGGCTGTTACCCTGCCCACGGCTGCATGCACAAGTTATCCTCTTCCTTATCAAACAGCAGCAACTCATCTACCAAACTAACAGCAAAACATATTTACCTTCTCTGAAGGCATTAAAAAAACACTACCAAAAGCATGAGAAAAGTATTCAAACCAGCACTTATTATTACACCCTCTGCTTTCAGTGAGGCATTTCCCTGGAGAGGAACAAAGTCAAACCCCTCATTTCTGCCCTTCTTATTCACAAATCCCATTTTTACACAGAAGACAGGAAGCTTACTTACTCTTGTAGAAAACAAACGTGTTTACTTGACAAAAAACAGACAGTAAGAAAGCACATCAGAAGAACTGCCCAACAGTGAGAATCAAAACTCAGCCCTTATGGTGAAAAAGCATCAATAATGTTTTTCTATAGGCATAAAGAGACACTGGGTACATTAATGAACCATGCCAGGAACTGGGGGACAGGACTGGGCACAGAAGCCAAAAGTTCTGTTACTAACTTGATACGTGACATCAGGTAAACAACTTCACCCCCTCTCAGTCTCAGCTTACACTTTGGTAAGCCCGTAATGATAAAATTACCTACCTCACTACATGGGTGGAGAGCACTTTACTAATTCATGACTACAAAGCAACTTGAGAACAGTGGATATAAAGCTTGTACATATACACACATATATAAATTAAAATACACATGTATTACATTTATAAATTAAAAACAAATTAAAAGAGAAATAAAACACATTACCCAAAAGCTCCAGTCAGCACTCCAGCTATACTGAGCAGGACCCTGCATTTTCTCTGTGCACGAATTAAGAGTCTCCTCTGAATCAGCAAGTAGCTGGTTAACAAGACCATGATCTACTTCATGAACTTCCTGTGAACAAAGAAGCAAGGTATGTAATTCAGCAGTGGTGGAGAAAGGTGAAATAAGATGGCTAACCTGTATATTACACAAAATGTGGCATGCTAGTCTCACCAAGGTGAGTGGTATTGAAACACTTCCCATTGACAACCTTTTGACTTTCTTTTCCTAGAATATACTATATTTAATTATTACTTACATTTTTTATCAAAGTATTTCATTTCCACAGCAGCCCCTCAGCTTACACATTGAAGCTGCACAGATACTTAGAACTGAAATAATATCAACATGAAACATCAGTCCGTAACATGCAGCACGTCTCAAGAACCTGTGAGACCTCTCAAAACCTGAGAATTGTCATACAGCTGTAGCACTTTTACCAGTGGACTGATATATATTATTATAATAATGATACATTTCTACTTACAGTATAAATTGTATGTTTTGTTGTATATAAAGACAAGCACAACACTTCAGAGGCACATAGTTGGACTCATATCACTTAGAAAGACAGTAAGTAGCACTGTATTCTAATTCTGTAGCACTGTCCCTTGGTATCAGTATTCCTCACTTTGAAGGTCAGTTTTACTTTATGAAGGCAAACAGAGCCACAAAAAGTCACTTGTCCCAACTCACCCAGCAAACGGTACCAAACCAGCCCAGGGCCCTAACCAGTAACACCGCCTGTACTACCGGATCGGCCGGGATGAGACAACGCTGAGTTTGGAGTGCAAACCGACTCAATCCCGAGCCGGTGATGGGACACACACGCCGAGCCCGCGGCCCAGGCAGGAGACACGCTCCGGGGCGGACAGCGGGGTGAGGCAGAGGCAGGGGCGCTCCAGCATACGTGGCTGAGAGCAGGGCTGACCCTGGGGGGGGTTCCACGCAAACACCCGGGATGGCCACAACCTCCACCAGTTGCTGCCCGCCCGCTCCCGACCCACCATAACGCCGGAGCTCCGCGGCTGCCTCCCCGCTGGGTGCCCCCCCGGCGGCTCCCGGGAGCCTAGACTCTCCCTGGGGAGACGCCGCGGGGGGCTCGCCGCCCCTCCTCACCGGGGGCCCCGAGAGCCACCACTCCCCCCCCCAAAAAAAACCAACTTCGGGGGAGAGGAGTGCGGGGGGCGGCGGCGCTTCCCAGCGCTGCCCGCGGGGCCGCCCCGCCACCGCCCGTGCGGGGCCCGCCCGCCCTGCTCCCCGAGGGCAGGAGCGAGGCTGGCGCCCCCCGCACCTACCTGCGCGGCCCGGGGGGTGGCGGTGGCCCGCCGGAGGGGCGGGCGGGGAGCGCGGCGCTTACCATGGAGGGGGGCGAGGGCGGCGCGGCGCCCGCCGGCTGCCTCCTCCGCGGGGCGCGCGGCGGGGCCGCGGCCGCCATTTAAAGGGGCCGGCGCCGGCCGCGCCGCCGGCCCGCGGCGGGAGGGGGTTGCCAAGGGCGAGCGGCAACGCCGCTCTGGGGAGCGGGAGCCGTCATGGGGGGCGGAGAGGGCGGTGGCGCCTCCCAGCCCCCCTCCCGGCCGGCTCCGACGACCCCTCTGCGCCTTCCACAAGAGTTAATCGGGAGCCGGTGGAAAGTTTGAGGGCTGTGGCAGGAAGAACTCCTGGCAGCGGGGAGCCGGGGGGGGGGGGGGGCGGTGTTCGCTGCCTGCATCCCCAGGGTTTACCCCGCGCGCGCAGCCCCGCCAGTGGGTTCAACAGCGCCCGGGCAGCAAAAAGGTTCCCAAATCCTAAATTCTTGGGATTCGACGGGAAACACCGCCGGGAGGCCGCTCCAGGGGTCCACCTAGGGGGAGAGGGGGAAGGCTGGCTGCGGGCTCAGCGGAGGATGAGGTGACATAAAGGAAGTCAATGTGGGAAACCCAGGGTCTCGTTTTTGAAGCTGCTGAGCAGCGCCGGGTGGTTTCTGCCCCAAGCTGTGAGCACACGGAGGTTGGGAAAGCTGGGGTCCGTCTTAGACTGCACCAAACGATGCCTCTCAAGTCAGAGGACCCAACCAGTGCGATGATGGCTCACAGACTTGTGCCCTCAGGTCACTTTACGGAAGAAGAAGAGCCCTGTGAGGTGCAAAGAAATCTCCACCTTGGTGGGCGGCTGCCTGGTAGATGATGAAAAGGGATGAATGGATGGATGGCCAGCCAAGGGAAGGAAGGGTAGAGCAGACTGTAGTGACAGCACTGTTTCTTCCCGCTGTCCCCTTTCTCTCCATGGATTTCCCTGAAAGCATGTGAAGGCTCTCCCTGAAAGGACATCTCAGGGCCCTGCGATATCTGCCCTCTGATACATTAGCAAAGGTACCAGTGAAGTCCCAGTGGCTGATGTCCCCTCCCAGCTGTTGGCCCAGACAGGACAGTTTTAATGCAAGAGACTGTGAGTCTCCAAAATTTACAAAAAACTGTGAAAAAGAATGTGTGGTTTGTTTCATTTTTGTTCCTTGGTTTCTTGATTTGGACCTCTAAAACTCAATTTTTTCCCATGCTTTTCTCAACAACAATCTGTGTACCAAGTTTACTTTTCATTTTGTCCAAAAATTGAGATTCTCTTAGGATAGGATTGGGTTATCCAAGTGGGAGAAGCTTCATTTTCAACTACTGGCTGCCAGCGACACTAAACCTCCTTTGTATTCCCTTGGTTAAAAGCTGGCTGATCTGGCAGTTTTGCTCAGGAATTGACCTATTAAATGGAGGATTCACAAGAGAATTGCTATTACAGGATGAAATGAATATAAACAGCATTTGCATGAACAATGGTAGTATGTCCATCACAACACACTTGAAGGGTTTTTTTGAAGCACACCAAATACTTGGGTTTAAATCAGACACTGTTTGGATTGCCTTTAGTCCACCTCCATCTTCCCACGCTGACTTCTCTGACACGCAGTCATGACCAATACTCTAAGCTCAGTAACTTGGTCCCAATTCCTCTTCATCTGCGAGATGCCTTTGACTCTACTGGTTTTACCTCCTCAAACTCTTGATCGTTTCTGACTCTAATTTTTTCCTTTCATGGATAATTTGGTTTTACTCAGTTACGCTTTGGCAGTTCTTCCTTCAGAAGACCCCCACAAACCTCCTTCCAGCTTTCCTCTGAAGTGCTGTGTTGCTCTGCACTTGATCCCAGTTCCCTTCTTAATATATACTTCGCTTTGGAGTGATTCCTGCCTGGTAATCCTAGGTCTTCCCACTCTTCCAAGCTATTTCAGAGAAGTATTTGCCCTCCAAGTTCCTTTAACTATACTCCCTCTAGCCTATCCTGCTTTTGCTGATACTACTGCTTTGGTGTCAGCACACCAAAGCTAGAGTAACAACTGGTGACTACAGGAATGAATTGTTCCTCTTGACATTGTTTGGTCAGCGAAGTTTTTCAAGTCAGATGTGGGTCCTTTTTGCTTTCAAATGCAATGAAAAGCAGAAATACTCATGCCTCTCTCAGCTGAACTGTGGTTTGTATGTATTTTAAGAGATAGGGAATTGAGTTTTTACTGGATACTCAATCACAATTCCATTACCTGGAGAATTTTAAAGATATATGAGATCATTAGACAAAATGTGCAGTAATCCCTAATCCTGTAGCTGAGGGAAGAGGTGTCAGCCAGGTTCTGAGGGTGGCACATGCTCGGTACAGGGGTACACTGCTGGAGGGGCTGGATGGTACAGGTAGGGTTTGGGGCTGCTCCAGCTCTTCCCACAAAGTTGTGCTCCATGTGTGCCTCATGTAAACCTAGACTGTTTCAGAGTACACCTGCTGGTTTTGCAGATGGACCAACTGCTTCAGCAGTTTTCCCCTCCACCCAGGTGGCATGGACGAGCTCTACTTAAATAGAGTTTAAGTAATCAAATTTTGATGAAAAAGCATTTGTTCTGCACTGAAAAGAATACTTTGGGGAATACATTTTACCTGTAAACACCATGTGCTTATAGTCACAAAAATATTAAATTTCTGAAACTTCCTTTTGTGGTGTATTAGGATGATAGGAGTCCAGCTGCTCAGAAAATTAATCCAATGCTCTTTCTCTTCTCGCCTCCACTTACTTGGGAGTGGTTCAGCAGAATAAAGGTCTCCTTTTGAGTATTTGGATACTCTGTGTTCAAACCAAAGTTGTGGTTTGTACAAGGCTAAAGTGAAAAACAATGTATTATCTTTCCTCTGCTCTCAGAGCATTTTTGACATCTTCTCAGAGGGAGCTCAGAACAGCCGCCGGGGAAGTCATTGTTGTCACTTCAAACGTGGCTGTCATCCAGGCAGCAGGCAGAGCACTGTGAGCTCAAAGCTGTGGTAACTTTAGTAAGTGTGACATTCACTGGGCAGAATGTGAGGTCCTGTTGCTATAATACACATATATTTTTTGCCCGTACAACCAGAGGGAGAGACAGTGAGGCCATATACTTCAGCAACTATGATTCAGCACATTGGGAAGCTCTATAGGTCTGCAGCAACTTCATTCCTCTTCTTCTTCGTACTGGGTGAGTACTAAACCTTAATTAGAAGAAACATAGCTTATTCCTAGAGTCTGGCTTGAGAGGTTCTCTTCTATTTTCCAAAAAGCAACTTTCCACTGAAGGTTTCCTCAGGTTGCAGAGAAACAGTATTTAGTGTTGTGCATTGCAGTAAAACATACTTTTCTTTTTAGATACATTCCTGTTCAGCTAATATAAATGTTCAGAAAGAGTGTATTTGCCTGTCTTTTTCGAGATGTGTATCATCATTGCTAGAGGTTTCTTTTCTATTTTGGTTCTCTGATGTATTAGCAACCAGTTATTGTCACAAGGTAGTTATTCATATGCATTTGTGAAAGCCAGCTTCAGTCCAGGGCAAAAGTCATATAAATTAAGAGTAGCAAAGTGCAGTCACTGATCACTTAATCATAGATGTCTGGGAGCTGGATACAGCTTTTAAAGCACCTTTATGGCATCAGCATGGCATGAGTGTGAAGCTGAGCTGTAAAGTCAACAAAACCACCTGAAAGACAGTCATTTCAGCAGGAGAGGATTTTTATGTGGGTTAGAAATCAAACCCTATTTGCCCTCAACCTCTCCTTCAGCTACTGTGTGAACAAAGGAAAGGTAACATTCTCCGCTGACCTTCGCCCACCATTTTTGTTCCCTCATGTTGCTGACAGCTGGCAAAAGAAGCTTGCAGGGCTGCTTGGGTTTACTCCAGGCACCAAAGAGTTAGTTAGAGGCTCCAGGACAGGAAGAGAGTGCAGTTATATTTTATGCTTTCCCTTTGTCACCCCACCTCCTCTAGCCTGCTTTGTGTATTTCTCGCTCACAGGCCTGATATGGCTTTACATGGGAAAGTATCAACCTGCAGATTATGTAAAGGGAAGGCTGAGGGCTTAGTAGGTGCCCTGTTAGTACTGCCAAATGTGGAGCACACTGCCACATTACAGGGAGTCCCAGAGAGCTTTCTCCCCTCATGGCTGAAAACTAGCGACTTTATGTGACACTGACCTATTAGATCATCTAATCGTTTTTCCAGGTCAAGACAAGATTATTCATGCTGTATTTCTCTGTACTCTGTCTTGCTCAAGTGCTTTCACCAAAAAGCCTTGCTTTCCTCTCCAGCCCTACAACCCGCATGACAAGGGACCTACACATCACTGCTAATGAAGCAATTGACTTAAAAAGAGCTTTGAAGCAGAGTCAACAAAGCATTTGGCATTGCATGCTCCCAGATGCCAATACGATAAGGGCATTGTGTATTTGAATACCAGTGAACTAATATGTTCCAGTTTTGCAGCCTTAAAGAAGAAAAAGAAATGAAGAAAGAAAAATAGAGGCAGTGCTGTGACCTTCTCAGTGAAACCCTCAAACAGAGCTGAAACAATACGGCCTACTCCTCTTGTGTTTTGATTTTCCTGATTATCTTCAAGTTACATGATTTGTATTGAATCAAAGATCTGGAATAACACAGATGATAAGGCCAGTTATTTCATGACAGGAGATGCAAATAAAACTCATGATGAACAGAGGCAACGTCGGAGCACATTGTTCCTGCTCAGTTATGTTCTCTACATAACTCTGGCCATGTAAAAATGATACCTTCCGCATCACTAAAGGAATAAAAATTACAATTGTGTTACAGGGATGCATATGGCAAGGTTAGAATACTTGTAGTGGAGAAGAAATTTTGTGGCCATTCCTTGAAAACAAGGTAGCAGTAGCACACACTGCTTTGGTTAAAACAACAGGTGAAGATGATGGTTAATAAACTGAAATTTTAAAAGAGTACTCATTATGAAACTGCTCAAATTCACTCTAATAAATAACCAAATATATCACATCAGAATATTGGATGCACAAATATGTATGTAGTATGTCAAGCTACTATCAACTTTGTCAAGTATTTCAATTATACTCTGTATTTCATCAAAGTATCTTGTCAAGATACTTCAACTTCGTGACTCTTGCATCAATACACGTATCTAACTGGAAGGGGAAAATACGGAACTCAGATTTCCCGAAGAAGCTCCAGCAGGCTCATTGGTACAATTACATATGAACAGGAGGAGAGTATCTCATCCAGTATCTTTAATAAGGATCACTAATTTTAGGGGACCAGATTCAAAACTATATTTGGGTGCCTAATTCTCAGGCATTCGATTTTCATGGTTTGGTGTTCCAGTTAAAAGGCAAAAATTTTCACTTTGAGGTAAGAGCCAAAACAGCTCGTAAGGTTTTTCATATGCTTTGTTGTTGCCTGGTTTCATAACCTGTTTATATTTCCTGTATTTTTGCATCCACGAATTATCTCTTGTCTGATATTTAAACTGTAAGCTATATACCCCATCCTTTTATAAGGCACTCAGAACAGGGCCCTGCTGTCTGAAAGAAATCCTCTACTCCCATAAGAGTCATAAATAATAATAACTATGAATACAACTGTGATTTTGTGTACAAGCATGCCTGGAGGAGCCATTCAACTAACTCCCAAACCAACTATCAAGGGGGTTGGTTTTCCATTGCCTTGAGACATTTGTCCCTGAGCAGAGGGCATCTGTTCTCATTGTGAAGCTTTACCAGACCTAGACAATAGCATTTCACACTCTATGGATGGCAATGGAAGACTCAAGACAATGGAAAATCAAGACCTTCACTCTGCAATTGTCTACAGTCCTTGAGAGGACATCAACTAGTTAGAAAGGAGACTATTTCACTTGAAGAAAATAAAAAAACGGAAGAACCTTTTCCAAAAATTGGTCTGAACACTATCTTGGCAAAAGCTGTTGGCTTATTTTTAGGTTTGTTTTCCCCTCTTTTTGAGACAGCAACTATTCCTCTCATCTTCTGCACCCGGGTTATTGTTTCCAGAAACGAGATCCACTCTCACTACTCGTAGGTAGAGGTTGTTTGATACTATGATTAGCACCTGAGTGCGAGAAGGCAGGTTTAAATATCTACTACAGTCATGCTCATATTTTTCTAGCAAAAGTTAACAGGACAATGGTCTCTTCAGAGAGAACAGCTGTCACCCTCAGTATCAGTACCTGCACAAGGCTGAGGTTCTGTCTCTCATACTGCTGATCAGATCTGCTGGGGGTTCAGTCTCTGACAGTGGACATTCTTCCCACAGTTTCAATTTCCACAGTTGGAAATGCACACCAAAACTTCTAAGAAGCTCATATTATGTTTTGGGATGCAGGCAGTTGCATTAGGATGCACACTTATTCACTGTACTTGCCAGAACAGAATTGCCACTGTGTGAGTGTACGTGCAATTTTGCTTTGCCTCAAAAGCAGTTGAGGCAGGAACATCAGGCCCTGATGCTTTTTGGGGTGGGAAGAAAGAGTTTAGTGTTTCAGGTGAAAATGTGGCTGCCTGGTCTTGTACGGCAGTAGGAAGGAATTGAGATTCAGGAAAAGATCCATCTATACACAATAATATAATCTAAGCAGGAATTAGGAAGAAAACCTCGTCATCATAATATTGACTGCCCTCAAGTGCTAATTTCAGGAGCCATTCTTTGTGCTGGTTAAAGGTCAGGAGCAGCTGGAAGGTTTATCATTCTCAACTGTCCTCTTCTTTCTCTTTCCTGGTGCAGATGTTGGTGTTACTGGTGGAAGCACAAGCAAGGAGAATGCAGCAGCTGTAACTCATGTAACAGCACAGCCTTTGTTGTTGACAACACTTGAGCAGTGGAACCTTTTGGTGACTCAAACACCAGCCAAGGAGAAAGCCAAAGAGGGTGAAACTGTGGTCTTAAATTGCCATTTTAACAGTCCACCACGCCCCTCCCTGGATGACCTGATGGTGAAGTGGTACAAAGAAGATGAAAAGGGGCAGATGGACCTGCTAGAAAACAATGTGACCGTCTTGCCAAATAACTCCAGGGTCTTCATGAGTGGAGACTTGTCCCAAGGGGATGCCTCCCTGGTTATCCTCAATGTGACAACCAGTGACCATGGTATTTATTTCTGTGAGGTTACACTTCCGGACGGGAAGGTGGTGACAGGAGATGGCACAAAGCTCAGGATCAGGAGGGCTCTGGGTAACATTTGATGTTATTGACTTCTTTTCTCCTCGTTTTTCCTCCAAAGCTGGTTTACATGCTTGCAGAAAGGGAATTTGGCGTGTTTGTCCTCTAGCTATAAGGGTCCAGTGTCATGGAGTGTAATTGCTCTATAGCATTTCTCATTATTTTTGTAAGGCCAGCTAATTTTGATTGGCTTGTCTCTATAAACAGTCAAACAGGTATTATATAAGGAGGAGCATATACAACCAAAAAAAGAAGGAAAAATTTTATCCATAAAAATTAAGTCAGTGCCAAGAATGAAACAGACGAGTTCCCTTGTAATCACAGCTCTGGCAGAACGCCCGTGAGTGACAGGTGTCAAGATATCATCTCAGGGAACAGCTCCAGACCTCTTTTTTTTTGACATTATTTTTCTCCAACCCACTAACTTGCGTAGTCATTCCTTAACTCTGGATGACATACGTAATCCCATAATGAACACGAGGATCATATTGTATAATTTCTGATTAACTTCATTCACATTAAAATCAAAGTAGCATTAAAAGTGCCATGCTGTGTTTTCTCAGCCTCTCAGATAGACACTAGGCATATTAAGTAAAGAGGTAACTCGCTTTGCCTTTATCAGCTGGAAATGTCAAACCATTTTCCATAGGCTAAACACATTGCAGTCCCAAAAAGTCAACACATCAGAAGGGTTATTATCTTATTATCTAATTAACAAAAAATAGCACCTTCTGTGTCAAGAGTAAATTATGCAAGTGCCATTTCCCCCTTATAAATTACCAAAGCTTCTAGCTCACGAAGATTCACTAAGCCTTTGTTCTTTTGAGCCTGATTTACTAATTTGTATGAAACTATTCAGTTTAAACTGTAACACTAACAAGGCAAGAAAACTGTGTCCCTCTGCAAGGGCTTAGTTGTGTAACTAATGGGGTCTTCTCTTGGCTTGATGTCATAGTCTCAGTAGTGCAGATTACTCTTGCAATGTCTACACCCTAGCCAGTATAATTGCTTTTGTGTGTTCCTGAGACTATGAAATATGTAATTTCAGCACTATGCCATCTCTGCCATGTAACAGTCCCAAAGAGCAACCAACTGAAGAAAGGATTTCAGAAGAGCTCTGTCCACTCTCCCATGCTGTCTTCTTTGGAGACAGACAAGGAGACTAATAATTTGGTTGAAATTGTCAGAGTAATTTTTTTCCATTTGAAAATAAAGCATATGGCATGAGTCCCATTAATTCAGGGAGCAGCATCTTTTGCCATCCCATAGCACCTAGCTGTTAAGGGAGATTCTGAGGGCAGTGGGACTGTCCTGTCTCTAAAGCCCCAGAAAGTGTAGCATCTTGCTACATTGGAGTGAAAAAAATCAATACTTCTGTAGTGCAATACACTCTCCCGTGTAGAAGCCCATGATTTCATGTCAGACAAGACATCAGCATAATCGATATCCTAGTAAGTAGCTTCCTCTTCAGCCACGGCAGAAAACGTGCTGGCTGCATTGCATGTCTGCACATCTTATGTTACTCTCTCTACCTTCCCTTCTCCCCCAGGCTTGTTTGGTATAGAAGAATCCATTGGAACAATCATTGGGGTTGTGGCAGCCGGTATTGGAGGCATAGTGGTTCTGACCATTGTTTTAACCCCGCAGCTGAGGAAGTGCATCCTCTGCGTGAGACAAGAGTCTTGCCAAAGGTACCTTTTTTAACTTACTTAAAGAGGAATTAGCCATTTACTTACCTCTGGTCAGACATGGGATCTGGTTCAGGAAATAAGCAGTGTGCATAAGATGCTAATGGGGCTTGTTCTATATTCCATCTCTTTTTTAAATAATTCTTTGTTTATGCTGTGTAGACCTTGATGCATGGGCCTAATAAGTTACTTACAAACAAAACAATAGGATCTTCTTTAATTGCCACTTTTGACAGAGTTGTTCAATGAGATGCTGCTGCTTCTTTCAACAAAGTCCTAGGACTCACTCAGTTCTTTTAGGTTTATGCTGAAGAATGGTTCTTCCTCCTACCCACTACATGCTGTGTTCGTGTAATACTTGTGTACAGAAAGCCTATGATGGCTTAAATGAGTGAGATGTGGTTTGTAAAATCTCTTTTATTACATCAGCTGATCAGGTTGGAAAAACTAGAGGTTTTCATCACACATGAGCCAAAGAAATGACCCAATAAGAGGCTGATGTACCTGAAAGCTCACCTGTTTTTTTTCCAGTTCTGTCAACTAGTCTAGTTTGAGGAGACTGACATAGAAGGCTGGATTTTGAAGCAAGCTTAGTTCCCCTTTTGTGCAACCCGAGATGTGGTATACGTTTCAGACCGAGCTTAGCTGACTTTTTTGCGTTCAGTGAGGAGATGTGTGATTCGTACCTCTTCTCCTGGCACTCAAAGATCTTGCTCGGCCTGCTGAAAAAAATCCCCTCCCGGAAAGGCTGAAGGAAGAGCTGCTCCTGCCATTCACTGGAGCGCTGCCGCCACCTGATGGACAGTGTGGCAGCGACAGGGACGCGCCACGAGCTCTGCCTCCCTCAACGGGGAGGGTCTTCCACCCCTTGCTGGGAAGCACACTCACTCCCTTAGGCTAATGCTGCCCACACAGCATCAGCCCTCTGCAAACCCTCTGCATGAAGAGTTCACAACTTCTTTACTTGCCAGAAAGCCTTGGAGGAGTTTGTTGTATTGTACTGACTCTGTATCGTTCACTCACCCTCTCTCCTTTTCTTCTTGCTCAGCATCGCTTGAGGTGCAACATTACAAGAGTTGCTGGAAGATGCGAAGCCTGCAGGTGGAACAACTTCTGATGCCCTGTAAGCCAAAAAATGGAGCTCTAGACAGAATAAAAGCCTTTGCCTCTACATGTTGTCTTCAGGATTTTTATTTTTGTTAGCCTGTTTCTTTTCCTGCAGCTTTGACAGTCACAGTGGCATATTCACCATCCTCCTGCAGCAAGGAGCAAAGCAGCCTTTTGTGAAGAAATCTGCATTCTCACCTGCCAAAACGCCGCATAGTTTGGCTACATTTGTCTGAATTTAGACTCTGATAAGGTATTTTGGGTCTTTCCATGTTATTATTTCTTATTTTAAAGGTGATATTCAAATTTTGTCAGCTGTGCTTCAGCAGAGAGAGAAGGAGCCCGACCTACCCAGCTGCTTCCACCCACCCAAAGAAATCAAAAGCATTGCTTCTGGGGTGTAGCTGTGGCTCCCATCTGCCTGTGCCTCCCGGTATGGAGGCTCTTGTCCTTCTGCCTTGCTCCAGCCTACAGGCTTGTAACAAAGGCAGAAAGAAGGCCCACTTGTACATAGCTACCCCCTGGCTGAAAGAACGGGATTTTGTTTTACTCTTGCCAGAAGAAAATGTAGTGTTTCAATATAAGCCTCTAATACCCTTAAAAAAAAAAAAAAAGAGGAGAGATGAAAATGTTCTTGACATGACTGATGTTCTCCACAGTCTCCCTTTCCTGACATGACAATAATTGATTCCCAGGCAGTCAGTGACAGGGGGATGTACCAATACAGGAGACCATCTATTTGTATCAGAGAGCAGCATATCAGCTCTGAAGCGTGTGTAACACGTAAGGAGTATATTCTTTTGCAAAGTATGGCTGCACCTACTAGTAAGTAGAAGTCAGAAACACTGATCCTTGCAACACAGCTCAGAAGTCTCCCTAGTGCTGGGAGGCAGGAGCATGAGGGATAAGACAGCTGAGCTCTGAGCAACCTGATCTGACTAAAGATGTCCCTGCTCATTGCAGGGAGATTGAAACTACATGATCTTTAAAGGCCCCTTTCAACTCAAACTACCCTATGATTCTGTGATTTAAAAAAAAAAAAAGCCATTTGGTGACAGGTAATGTGTTCCCACTGCACTGCAGGCCAAACCCTCTGTTTCTGCGAAGGACATGATCAGACCAGGATCTTGTCCTTAATTCAGCATATATTTTACCCTGTCACAGAATCACAGAATGGGTCAGGTTGGAAGGGACCACAGTGGGTCACCTGGTCCAACCTCCCTGCTCAAGCAGCGTTATCCCAGAGCACATTGCACAGGATTGTGTTCAGACAGGTCTCGAATATCTCCACTGAGGGAAACTCCACAACCTCTCTGGGCAACCTGTTCCAGTGAAGGGTCACCTGCACAATACAGAAGTTCTTCCTTATATTTGAGTGGAAACTCCTGTGCATCAGTTTCTGCCCATTGCCTCTTGTTCTATTGCTTGGCACCACCGAGAAGAGCCTGACTCCATCCTCCGGACACCCTCCCTCCAGATACTTACAGACGTTGATGAAGTCCCCTCTCCATCATACCTTCTCGATGCTAAACAGGCCCAACTCTCTCAGCCTGTCCTCCTAAGAGAGATGTTCCAGTCTCTTACTTATTTTTGTCACCTGTTGCTTCTCCAGCAGATGTCAGGGTAGTTAAAGTCCCTCACCAGAACCAGGGTCTGTGACTGAGGCTGCTTCAAGCTCCCTGTAGAATTCATCCACTTCCTCCTCCTGACCAGGAGGCCTGTAGCAAACCCCCACAACAATGCCACCCTTACTAGTCTGCCCCTTTACCCTAATCCATAAGCTCTCAACTTGCTTGTTGTCTACCCCAAGAGAGAGCTCGATACATTCTTTGTGTTACCTCACGTAGAGGGCAACTCCACCGCTGTGCCTGCCTGGTCTGTCTCTTCTCCCCATAAACCCTGGCCTGATAGAAATTCTCTCACACCATTGTTAGCTCTGGTAAAGGAGGAAAAATTTTATTGCAGCACCTTTGTATTCAAAGGGTTAGAAGAAACGTCCTAAAAAGACTATTCTGGTCCCCCATATCTGACATGGCAGGTGGGATGAGTCCGTCCACATAAAAAATCTGGCCAGAGGATATAGTGTGGGTTGTATGGGGCTGCTCCCCAACACTTGGCTGCTTCTTGGTCACACAGGCACACCATTTTTTCACACTGGTCTGTCAGGTTATCTGCAAAAGAAAATGTGAGCAGAGGATGAGCGATTCTGTATCAGCTGAAGGCAAGAAACAGTTTTAGGAGGAACAATTCCCTGAAAAAGCAACTCTTAGGGATCAGAGGCTGTGGCAGCAGGCCCTGCATGTCATGTTGTGAGTGGATCTGACCCTCCCCTGTCCTCTCTCTGTCAACAGACCAAGAGCATCAGAAAGTAGCAGCTAAATGTAAATTGGCAGTGCTTATAAAAATTTGCCCAGTATGGAGCACTCCCTACTTCTAGAGCGCTGTGATCAATGGGGGCTTAATTCAGCAATCAGAGCTTAAAAAGAAAATTATTTTATCTTAGCCTGAACTAAAAATATTCCACCTTTCCTCAGTCAGTAAATTTCCCTTCTAATTCTTCCTTCTGCAAAACAGGTTGATTTCAAAAGAAAAAAAATGCTGCTTTGAAAGGAGGAGCCTCCCATAGGCAGAAACCTGAGGGCATAGAAGCACCCACTGGGCATTCCTCACTCATGTTCCATCAGTTAATGTTACATCTCTCTCTGATCATGGCAGAGGAGCCAAGGAACTCTGCAGCAGGGCCAGGTACCTGAATTTTATGAGCCAGCAGCTAACAAAGCTGATCAAAGCCATACATGGAACTATAGAGAATGCAACTTAGTCATGACTACATGACTAAGTAAGGACCATAAGGAACATCAAACCCACCAGCTTAGATGGCTACATTGCAAATGACTGATTTGGGGTTAATGAACCCCATCCCACCTCTAGGTGGCTCAAATGCAGCCATCGGGCTAATATTATTTCAAAGCAAAGTGCCTTGTTTCTATGAGGCTGCTACCATGGATTATCTAACACCCACAAAACCTCCAGTATGCAAAGTTCAATATATAATTTCATGCGAAGTTTCATTCCAAAACCAACTGCAATGAGTATAGGAATTGTTTCAGATTACACTGGACTTTGCTGGATCAACCCTATATCTGATAAATAAATAAAGCCTGTGTTTCCTAAGCTGGTCTGAATAATCACACATTTACTGGTAAAAAGTGTTTCAAGGATCCTACCAACTACTTCTTTAGCACTAAGGCCACTTTTTTTTTTAGCTACCTATCTTGCATGATATACCAATCTTGCCCCTCTGCTCCTTTAGTTCTTCCTATGCTGTGCTAGCCACTGTCTATCTAATGTGAGTACAAAAGCCTGGCTTTGCAGCATTTCTGTTAGAGCAGAATGATTTTTTTGACCAGCCTCCACAACTTACAGCCTTTCCTATATTTCAGGTATTTATTGAATGCAATTTGCCTACAGATTATGGCATTTATGGACTGAAGAATATGGTTTTGCCAATTATTTTCATATCACAAATAAAACCACTGAACGGTAGCAAAAGGAGGAGAAATCCCAGGTAAAATGAGTTTCTATTTAATTTACATGAAAATGTCTGTGTTTTTGTTACAGTGTCAGGCAACAGGCATTTAATTCCTATTGCATTGGAATGACAGTGCAAACAGTTCTGCTTCTAAAGCTTCTGGACATCATTACCCTGGGCCCAGCAAGCATGCCTGGAAATTTAATTCTTCATTCCTTTTGTTTGAATGGGATCAGACATTATACCTTCGCACCCCAGTAACACCTGCTGTGCTGTAGCTTGGGGTAGGAAATATGCCTTCAGAACACATTTCTATTGTTCGTCCCCATGGGGTATATCAGGGGAAGTGAAACCTGCTGAGGGCTTGTGGAGAACAAGCCCTCATGGATGCATCTCAGGTCTTGCCTGGACGTCAGTTAGGGAATTAATGGCATTTGTTTAACTAATGCTTGTTAGCCAAGTCAGAGCAACTGCAGCCCACTGCACTCCTATGGGACAGACTCTGTACATCTCATGGACTCAGTGATACATCTCATATTCGCAACTTGTTCCCTCACAGCAAAAAGAAACAGGATTTTTTTCATTTAAAGATGACTTGCAGAGGGTATCAGTCAGTTATGGAAATGTGGGTAAGTAGGAGGGAGAGCAGTTATACATTAAAGTGGTACATTCCTTAGCCAGCACTTTGTATTTAATAGGTTGTTCTGGCACTTGGATAAGAGCAACTGCAGATGTGCTGTGCCCCATCCCATACCTCCTGGCATGTTTTCAGCTGCTGGCGAGGCTGAGGATTGCACCAATAGAATATGGTCTTCTGATAAGGTATCTTTTAATGTTTGAGCAAGTAGCTTTGATGATTATGGGGACAAGTTTTACTCTCATGTGTTTCTTTTCAAACTTTCAAAGTGTTCTACAATGGATTTTACCACCAGGGACTTCTTGAAGACTTAGAAGTGACAAATACTAAGACTCAAGTAATCTGGTGCATGTCAAAACAAACTCTGCAAGACACTGACGGGCTGTGATTGTGTAATTCAAACCTTCTTGACTGGGTACCAGCTGTAGAGCTCAGCACAGCCTACACTCGCTGTATGCCTGCAGCACTGAAGAGCATTTGATTCTACAAGCTTCAAAATCCCTGCTGGAACCCTGGGATTTTAGGCTGGAGCCCCACATGAGGCAGAGATGCAGGCTGGCACCCTGTTTAACCTGTCTTGCAGCCATGCAAAACAGCATGGCTCTTCTCTAGCAGCACATAAGGGTAAGTAAAAAAGAGAACAATCCTGTTGGAGGGAGGGCCAAAACTGCAATGGGAAGAGCACCCCTGTAGATCATTGCACAGCTGTGGAAAGAGGTCGGTGAGGAGCAGGCAATGCTTAATGCCAGTGAGTAGAAGGTCTACAGAGAGGCATCTGCACCCCTGCCAAACTGAGATGGCTTGTGGACGCCCCGACTCTCACTCTTCAGCCTGGGGAGCACTCAGGTTACCTGGAATGGGTGGTGCTGGGGCTCCAGCTTTCCTCCCAGCTCTAGCTGGGGACTCTTGGCAAGCCTATCAATCCAGGGGTGGGCAGAGATCTTGGTAGAGAATAGACGTTTCCTAAAGCAGCTTTGAGAGAAGCTCAGCATACACAGAACTACCTCTGGGGCCCACAAAGCTCTTTAGTCAGCCTAGTGCCTGCAGAGGGGGAGAAACACACCCGACAGGAGCAAACATTTCCTTACCGCACCGCACGGTGTTCTGCTCACACGCCCACTGGTAGCGCTGCACCTTGGGGCTGCAGCCTGCCTTCTCTGCCTTGTCGTAGCAGCAGTCGTGCGTGTGGCAGCACCTGGGAGAGAAAAAAAGGTAGAGTCTGGGTGTCCTCCTGCATCCTGCATGTTTGCATATACTCCAGGACGGCTCAGCTCACACACAGCTCACAACAGCACCATTTCCCCTGACTGTCAGTAAATCATCTGTTGATGAACCAAGTATCCTGACATCTGTGTGAAGATTCACATCTTTCAGGAGCTTATTAATGCCGTATTTGCTCCCATCACCACTGTGCTTCTTCCTCTGAGCTGCTGCCCTCAAAAGGGCACGTCTGGTCAAGACATGGTAATGTCACTGAAGTTTTTTGCCTTCCTCAATATCACCAAGAAGCTTCATCTCTTCAGTTCACCTGGACCTGCCACATGCTCTTTGGCCCATCCATTTTCTGAGGGCTGGCTACAAGTTCATCAGTCTCAATGGTGAAATTTGTATCAGTTAACTTCAGATCTTTAAATGCTCTCTCTATGCATATCTGGGGCACAGTTCACATTTTCATGCTGCAGAGATCTAACATAGGTGAAAAGCATTGTATTTGAAAGTGCAATTGCATTTCATTGACCATAGAGGGGGATGAAGGTGAGTAGCTCAGCTGATGACATCTGTCCTACTGACTAGTAAGTGAGATAATTCTCACTGTCAATTACTTCAGAATTTATATAAAACTTGACCCCATTTGAATTTTATTCTGGTAGTTTAGGGACTCAAAATAAACTGAGAAAAGATTCAGCACTTAAAGAGGTTCTCTGCTGAATAACAAAGGTTGTTTCCACAAAGATGCTGGGTCAGAGGCTGAAGGCAGATGGTAGTGATCTGTATTTCCGGAAGCCATCCCTGCACAGTCACTCTGACTGTACAGAGAAACCACTCTACTAAGCAGGAGGAATTGAGACAGGCTGGGTTTAGGGGTAAATGATGACTGGACAGCTTTTAGAGAAGCTCTGGAGTTGTGGGTGTGAATCAGTTCAAGAGGTTGATGAGCTGACCAAAAGGGAGCATGGCTGTGCTGGCTACTTCTAGATTACCAAACATAGTTGAAGATCTTGATTATCTTCAAGACCTGAAGCCAGTGTACCTGAAAAGTCAATAAAAGTCTGGGATCCATCATTATGTCCCTGTGGAAAAGTGGAAAAACACCGCAAAAAGGATAAGGATTTCTTGTTCAAGAAATAGGGCTTCTCTAGGGATGTGTTGGGAGCTCCCAGTACCTTATCTGAGAGCTTAGGAGCATCAGGAACTTCATTACCCTCTGCTGCAGGAGGATTTTGCACTTTTAGAAATTGGTTTATGAATATGAGGGATGGTGGGCTCTGTGAGGTGATAAAGCCCAGGAGAAAAAAACCAAAACAAAACAACCAACCAACCAAAAAACCCACCCATTTTTGAAGTGCAAAGAAAATTCACCACTGATGCAAATTCTAATAAAATCCCTGGAACCAGATCAGGTGAATCACGTGAAAGATACAACAGATCAAATTCAGCCTTCGTGTAACCCCTGTGATTATATGGTGGCTGTATTTAGTTCAGTCTGCTTTCCCTACTGACTGAGGTCTCAATTTAATGGTTAAAAGTAGCAATTTCATTCCACAGATGAGTCTGCAAACTAAATGCCTTTTTTTCCTCAACCTCCGAAGATGAAACCCGCATGAAGTTTACAACCAGACTGCTCACTGCATTGTGAAACCTAGAAATGTAAGTTAATTGTAGCAGACTAGTATCTTCTTCCATGCCAGCTCCTCAAAGGACTTTGGAAAGGGACTAAACCCTATGGGACATACGTATCTAGAAGTTTTCCCATGAGGAGTTGCAGCAATTGTTATAATTGAGAAGACCTTACCCAGCCTATGGAACCAATTCTGTTGGACATGACAAGAGTAGCAGGCTGTGGGTCAGACCTTTGTTGGTCTGGTAACACTTGCCTCCTAGGCTTGTCCTGAAGAGGTTAGACATGAAAGGCTAAAGGAGAGAAGAATTTGCAGCCTTGTGGAAAGTGTGAAATTCTCAGCTTTCTCCAACATTTGAGTCTGTATACAATGCGTCATAAAATATGACACGGATGGACTAAAGCACTGAGCTACAACTGGGGTATGTGTCATCTGGAGGATTTGCTGTAACCCAGGGCATCCTGGCTAAGACCTGAAGCTTCAGCAAAGCCTAATCCATCCTCAGGGGGATGACAGAGAGCAGAGCAGGCCCATCATCGGTGTCTCATATATGGGACACAGTGCACAGGAGGCCATGGTGGAGAGCCACAATCAGGCTGAGCTGAGGCAGAGTGCCAGCTGTAGAAATCACAGGGTTTGTGAGATCTGGGGAGTAAACCAAGAGGCAAATTGGGAAAGTTGGTGTCAGGGATGGAGGTATGTGGGGAGGAAGAACAACATGAAGGTAGATGGGCAAAGGAAGGTGTTAAGAGCCTCTGCCAAGGGAAAGAAACTGTTCTTCATGGATAGCCAGAGGGAACAAACAGAAAAAGAGGTAGGAGAAGAGAGAACAGATATTGCTGTGAATCAGGCAAGGACAAGCAAATAAGCGCTAGAGAGGTGAGCGAGCTAGCTGTGAGAACTCACTGCTCCTTATCTGGCTTGGCAAAATCAGGGAGAATTGCATAAATTTTGCAGGACCACAGGATTTGGGACACAGTTCTGCTTCCCCTTACAGGAGTTCCTCCTGATGACACCCACAGCTGCAGCAGGGTGACATGTAGCTTACACCAACTCAAAGTGAGAAGACTTTGGCTCATATTTTACAAACATCTCTTTCAGATGTGATGAGATACCAGGGAGCAAAGACTGAGGAAGCCTTTTGTTGTCCTTTGCCACCCTCAGATAGTCCCCTCCTGTCTGGAAATGCCTTTTCTGCACCTGGGTCAGAGTGGTGTTAAGCTTTTAATAACCTGCTAACACCAACAGAAACAGAGCCAGCCAACACCGTGGCAGAGCACTGGTCAACAGGTATGGAGAACAAATACAGCTGTGTCATCTAGATAGTAAACAACCTGTTCATCACCTCTGGGCTATGAGACAGCCCTAATGGCTACAGACAGCTCCGGCTGGTCCACAGGGATCAGCCGGCCAGACCCCTGCTGTGGAGCAAGGCCAATAAAGTAAGAATTTGTCACATTGTATTTGTCATGTTAACAGCCCCATCATTGCTGGGTGGCTTTTTCTTTTGCTTTAACTCTGCAACAGAGAAGAAATCGTTCTCCTTCCTATGCGTTTTCCAGGACTTAAAGATTGGACTCAACGATCTTAGAAATCTTTTTCAACCTTAATGATCCTATGACTTAGATGAGTCATATATGCCACCCTGCCTCTCACGGCATTGGTGTTTTCAGGGAAACACTGAGCACCCTCCAGGTCCTGCTTTACAAAATAGGTGCTGCAGCAACCCAGGGAACCAGAAAAGAGAAGGAGAAAAAAATCTATTGACGATGTGGAAGAGATGCCATTATGTCTTGAAGTGGTGAGACTGTAAGAGTAGAACAAAAGGGAAAAGGTAATTACTGACAACACCACATCAAAGTCAGTGTGTGGAATAAACCTTGTAAAAGGATTACCCACTTAGTGGCTTTTTTCTTTTCAAATAAAAGAGAGGTGCTTAGAAGCATTCTAACCCTGTCTAGACAGATTGACTGAGTTACTCACAAGAAAATTACTCCTTCTGTAAGGGTCTCAATAACAAACCTAGAATGTCAAGAGAGTGGGTAATTTCAGACAGTGTTTGTCACTCATGGCCAGTAGTTTTGCCACTCTGCTTCCCTCTTTTTTAGAATGGAAAATATGGAAAGTAACGTGGTCGCTTTCACAGGCATGCAGTACTCACCACACTGATCTTTGCAGCAGTTCTCTGTAACAGATATCAATATTTCTCTAACAAACAGAAAATAGAATATTTTAGGGCTAAATCTAGTGGGGCATTGCTGGTTCTTCCCAGCTAAGAACCTAAATAAAACCTCCCAGTTTTTCTATTGCAGCCAAGCATTGCAGCTAAGGAATAATAATGTGTGTACTTAAAGGATCAAGCTTTCCTTTTACAAACTATCTGGTATTTTGAGGCATTTCCAGTTGCAAAGTCTCATTTTCTGCTTTTAGGATAAAATCCATATCCAATGGGATTCAAACAAAAGCAGAAACACTGGCTGCTGAACATGTGGCCATATTTTACTCTCTGTTTTTCAGGAGTGCTGACTACTTGCATCTCCTGGAGTCACATAAACTCGGAGGTCACTCAGCCTGTATGGAAAACAGCTTTTAGGTCCCTCTGCTCAGCCCTTCAATAATAGCAGTACTCCAAATTAGTGAAGTCATGTTTTACTTTAAAGGCTTTATCATGAGAATTGGTAAAGGGTAACAGAAATAATTGAACACCTCACATCCACTGCTGTAGATGGTGATAAGCAGATCAAGAGATATTACTGAAAATTAAAAGAAACCTATACACCTGAAAGCTAGGACTCTTTGTAGGTAGTTACTCATCATTTGTGAGCCCCATAGTGACTGTTCATAGAAATATTTCACAGATAAAAAAAAGGGACACGATGAGATGGCTTTGGGAGAATAACATCTCACTGCATTAATGAAGGCAGCTCCATTAGTTTTAAGGGACAACTTCTTTTTCATGCCCACAGAGGAGCTGGTCTTTAACTTTGACATCTTTTCTTCCTTTTTTTTTCTCTCCCTTTTTCTTACCTGACAATGCAGCAAAATTTTGTAGCAATGTGAAATGTCTCCAGCAGCAGGGTATTCTGGAAAGCTCAGTTTCCTTTCCAGTGAGCTGCAGACCGCCTTCACCACTGCTAAAAGCAGGGCTTGCTTATCAGTAATGCCTGGTGTGTTGACTAGATAGACTTGTGTGCTCTGCCTTTGGTATTTCAAACTGGATGAGATTGCAAATAACAGGTTCAGAGCACACAAGAGTCCACTGTGCTCAAGCTTTACATGTATGTTAATCACAAAGTACACGAAAGAAACCTCATTACAACACTTCCTAGACACATTTCTTGTAGCCTTGGGAATAACAAGCACATCATCTCCCCCCGCTAATGAAGAAAAGGAGAAATAACACCATGCTCCCCCTTGTTGTTCTTCCCTGATTCAGTGTGAACTAACAGGCAATGAAGGCAACAGGTTTGATTGATTCCTCCTTGCAACTCCTTGCAACAATCTGGATTTCTTCAAGAGGATAAACAGTGATATTCCCATTGCTGACATTTTAAGGACCTGGGTAAAATAACCCTCCAAATACCTTGGATCACTCTCTTTTTGTCAGGCAGAGTTTACTCTCTATGAATACATATTCAGCTATTTCAGGAAATTATCCTGGTTTCCCCTTTGCCTTCTACCCCACATAGCACAAGGTCCCAAGAGCTTTAGTCTCATCCAAAAGGAGGTTAAACCCTCATTCAAATCCCAAGTGATATTGTGGGTCCTTACCCACAAATCCCCAGTACTGTTCATATATACTAAGCTCCCTCTCCACAAGGCAGGAAATGAGTCCGTGGAGTCACAGTAGTACAAACAGGGAAGGGTGGGGAGGTCTTCACTGCTTCTGGACACATAGATGATGTTTTTCTTACCAGTCTGTTTTATCTTTAGGCCAGCCTCGTCCTCCCAGTCCACAGTAGCATCCATAGCCAATATATGCCAAGGGAGACCGTCCCGTGCCACATGATATAGCTCCAGCCAATTCAATGATTCCTCGAGTGTGCAGTGAATGCGATTTTCCCAGAGCACCTTTCCAAACTGCAAAGACACGACATGGCTACACAGAGGAATTAAACTCACCTGCCACTGATTTTCCTACAGTCCTTAAAGGGAAATGGTTTTGGTTTTGACTGGTTAGTTGGTTGCAGCCCTAACAATCTAACTAACTAGCCATGACATTCAGCTGGTAAGGGGGACTCTGCAGGAGGCTTTGCCTGAGGTCTGGGATAACCGAGAGGTGGATGCAGAAATACCCAAGCAGGCTACTTCTTCTAAGGGAGCTCAATTCAAGCAAGATTTACTATTTCCGGTCGACTAGTCTGTGATTGCAGCTCTACTGCACCCAGGAGCAGCGTGCCTGGTTTTGAACATCACAAAGCTCAAGCTGCTAAGCTTTGCAGGGGCTGTGCTGGCATCATGCAGAGCCAGCTAGGCTTCAGTGCACTCCAGAGCTCCCAAACCTGGGAAAGTTTTCCAGCTATGCTGTGGTCCCAAGTGGGACATGAAGCAGCATAGTACAACCATGCAACCAAACCTAACCTGGGGTCCCTGGAAAAAAATGAGGTTTCTCTTTTGCCCAAGATTTCTTACATTATCTGAGTTTCCCCTGCTATCCAGGATGTTTTAACCCATTCTCCATGTGGCAAAAAGCTGACAGTACTATTAGTTTGCATTAAGGGATAGCTACAAGTCCCTGAGCGTGTATAGTACGTACTTTGTCAAGAGTATGTACTATAGATACAAACACAGAGTGCCTACATTAGCCAAGAGCTATGTATGTATCACCTTTCTTTTGAGACTTCGGAAGTGCTGGCAACACTTGCATCCACTTCCATTATTATGTTCCACTCAAGTCATAACAGGTTGGCTGCATTAATTTGGGGGAAAAAAAAAAAAAGAAAGGAACTCTATGTCAGCTGAAGTGTCTGAATTACCACCCAAACCAGTCTGGAGATTTCTGAGTTACAACTTTTCAGTGTTGTGATTTTGCATGTTAATTTGCAACTTTTTTGGAAACCACAGATTCTGCAGTACTGTTACAGAAACCAAGAGTACCCTGCCCCTAACACTCAAACCACTGTGATGCTCAGCTGCAAATGCTGATGCTTATCATGCTAACAATAGTGACAAATAAGAGTATTTTATGCCTGGCTTTACTGTGAAGGACCAAGTGCACTTTGCTCTACTCTGTCCTGAATTGCAAAGCTACTCACCAGTAGCATCAAACCCCTCAGACCAACAGCCTAACCCATGTGCTCGTCCTACCCATACACAACCACTCCAAAAAGAAACAAGGGGACTTCGTGGCACACTTGGATGGAGAGGGAAGTGATGCCTGGGAGCTGGGAACTTGCCACTGAAGTTGCTTTGCCACCTGCCCCTGGTTATTTCAGCAGGCTTGACCTCTTCAAAGTGTTGTGCAAACATGGACTAATTAATCTCCTAAACCACCCAAGGACTCAATACTATTATTAAAACAGTTGCTTTCCTTTTAAAACCTAGCCTCTAATCCCCTTGCTTGGGCCTCTCCCCGCATCTTCTGGGCTAGCTCGCCCTCTGAGCCCAATCCAAGTGCCAGTGAGGACAACGAGGGTCTCTCCTCATGAAGGACAAAGCAGGGCTTTGTTCCCTCTCCGCAGCCCAAGCCCCCAGCAGGAACTGGCACTGTCCTCCACTATTTTCATCCCTGTCCTCCACCATTTTCACCCGGGCGATCGCACCTCGGGCTGTCCCCGGGCACGGCACGGGGTTTCAGCACAGCCTCCCGCTGCTTCCTGGGGCATTCCTCGGGGATTAAATGCACATTCCTGAAAAAGTAACCGCGCTGCTCACCTAAACACTACTTGAGTGTTCAGGTTGCCTGCTAAAAACACATTATATGGGTGTTATTCAAAACTAAAGAGACCACTTATTTTCCTTGTCTAAACAGCAGGGCTTCGGAGTTAGAAGGGGGCTCAAGCTCTCAGGCACCTCAGGGGAAATCACAAGCAATAAGCTGTTTTGGATTCAGGGAAATAAATCATGCTTTTTTAACCTGTTGCAGTTTGCAGACCCTGAAAATGTTCCAGTGGAGACAAAAACTTCTTTGTAGGCACTCTGGCTTCCTGACGAGCAGTTTGAATTTTTTATAGCTATCTTTCACTGGCCTTTTAAGCCAGGACTGCTGGACTTGGTCTGTTGGCCACTGGCTGAAAATGATGTAAGGTAACTGTACCTCACCCAGAAGAAGAAAGGCCATTCTTCTTTTGGGGATATCTCTGAGGATCAAGGAACTGTAATTACAGTGCAGACCTGCTCATGAAAGTGGAGTGAAAGCCCCAAAGGAAATTGAGTCCAAAAGACTCAATTAGTGTGCTTAGGGCTGCATGTTCTGCGAGAGGCATCCAGGCAGCCTCTGATGTTCCTGTTCTTTGAAAGCTGTCTGGATTTTGAGCCAGCAGCGGGTTGCTGCAGCTGAGAGGTCAGCCCCAGAAAGTACATTTTAATATTCAGGTGCACAGCTAATAACTGGACCAAGAACTGAAATTGCTTTTTCTATGCTAGGGAGCCAAGCCAACACAGCTAGGAAAGCCTTGAAAAAGTCTGAGTCTCCACAGTAGCCTGCATCTAGCCACATCTCCCACTAGGAGCATGTTCAGTCATTAGTTATACCACTAATGGAGCAATGGAGCACCTTAGCTAAGAACATACCTGCAGAGAGGTGAGCAGAGGTGGATCTGACAACTTACACTTTCTATGTTCTTCTTACGCTGGCAGCCTTTAGATTAAAGCAGAGTTTTGCTTTTTATTTTGAAACTCTACTGCAGGTATAACCTCAGACCTGCCAGTTTACTGTTGCCTCTGTGTGTAGGGGCTTTATGTCATTTATGGCTTTTATAAACAGACTTCTTAAAAATTATTTTAAATTCAGATGAATTGAAAACTGCTTATTCCATGGTCACTGGTATAAAAAGAAGGTATTTTTATGAAACACGGACACTAAAAACTCTGTAGCAGAAAACTATTAAAAAAGAAAATGACCTGTGTTTATACAGCCCCACCTATGCAAACCATAGCCGGGGCTGGGAAGTGAGGTGGGCAGGCAGGTCGCTTACAGAGCCCCTCACTGTAAAGTTGAAAATTGTCCAGTGACACTTTTTTTTTCTCACTTGGCCAAATCACACCGAGGTGCCTGCTGTGAAAAAGGCAAAGCTGACGGCAAGGGGAGAGGCTGTCCCCAGACAGGGGGGAGGCATGGCAAGGCAGAGGGACCGAGAGGTGGTACTCACCTGCCTGAAGCAGCATCAGTATGAGCAGCCAGCGGGAGCCCATGGGCAGATCACTTCCACGCTCCTGTACTTCGGGGTTCAGCCGCCGGCACTCCCGGCAGCGCCTCGCCGTGCTGCCAAGTGAGCCGAGGTGTGGTTGTGCTAAACAATCCTCCCGGGCTGCTGCTCCAGGGTTTATATATACATGGCTCTGCGCCCGTCTGAAGTGAAACACCCTCTTCTGCGATGTCCCTGAGCCCCAGCTCGGGTCCAGTCCGTCCCCGCAGAAGGCTCCTTGCTGCGTGGGGAGAGGGCGAGGGCTGGCTCTGTTTGCCCAGCATCACCTTTGGGAGGGAGGGGCTGCTGGAAGGGCATTAGGGTGGTAGTCTCTGGGACAGCCCAAGACACCAGGCACTAAGCTGGGCTCCTTCTTTAAGCTGTTTGCTTACAGACCCTGGTTAACCTCTGAGTAGCTGCGGAAAAGGGAAGCCTTCAACCGGGCTTTCTGTGGCTTGGGCTCGCTGCTGTGGCATCCCCCTGGCAAGGATTTTCTCTTTTTATAGATCACTTTCCAGGGTATTTTTTTTTAATTATTTTATTTTAAGACTGATTATTTTTCATGTTTAAAAAAGAAGAGACAAAACTATAAAAATCCAACAGAAAGAATACTGTTAAGTGCAAGTACCCAATTATAAACTGACCAGCAGAGCTAATTCTGCACCACTCTGAGGGAAAAATACCCTCTTGGCCTATTGCTGCACCTGACCAACATCAATTGATTTCATGAAGTCCCATCAGTATGTGGGTGCCAGCCAGGTAGAAGACCAGCAGCTGGGGCCAGTCCCACAGGGCCAGCCGAGCTCTGGTCACAGCAGGCAGCTGGACTGGAAGGTGTTCTTCTTGTTGCACAGTCTCCACTTCTACAGGGTCTCAGGCAATGTGGGCAGGAGGGATGTCCAGTTATTTTGCCTTTGGGCTTGAAACAGCTCTAAAACTCCCACCCTTCTTGGTGCAGCAGCCACCTGCCTTGTTGGGGTTTAAACATCTGCCCCTTCCCTGGTGTGGGCGTGATCGGCAGGGTGGGCTGCTCTGCTGGGAGAGGAAGGGGAGGGGAAGAGGGCAAGCAGCCCTCTTCCCCTGCACTGCCCAGGACTGCCTCAGCAGCACCCGTTGCCTGAGTTGCCCATGGCAAAGCTGTGCTTCCCTTCTTAATAGCATGGGTTTAAACATTTGCTTTCTAAATATTGGTACTCAAATCAAAGGTCATCAGCAAGTCGTTTAATGGGCTTCCTTCTGCTGAGTCCTGCCCCAGCGCAGCTGCTGGCACTCTTTGTCAAGCAAGTTTTCAGGATACGGTATATACTGGGTGCCTTTGTACAGGGCAAATGAAACAGAAGAACTGAGTAAATCTCATGACAATTATGAGCACCACTCACCCAGTTGCTCCCTGCACTACCTCAGAGGGGCTTAGGAGTAGCTGCACAGCTTATTCTTCTGCCTTTGGAAACTCCCTTCAGTAATTATTAATTTACTCAAGTAATAATGCCAAATCATACAGAATCATTGAATCATAGAATGGTTTGGGTTAGAAAGGACCTTAAAGATCATTAGTTCCAACCCCCCTGCCATGGGCAGGGACACCTTCCACTAGATCAGGTTGCTCCAAGCCCCATCCAATCTGGTCTTCATCACTTTCAGGGATGGGACATCCACAACTTCTCTGGGTAACCTCACCATCCTCACAGTAAAGAATTTCTTCCTCATATCTGATCTAAACCTACCCTCTTTCAGTTTAAAGTCATTCCCCCTTGTCCTGTCTCTACACTCTTGTAAAATATCCCTCTCCATCCCTCTTGTCAGCCCCCTTTAGGTATTGAAATGTGATATAAGGTCTCCCCATAGGTGATATAAGGCTCCTCCAGACTGAGCAGCCCCAAGTATCTCAGCCTGTCTTCATAGGAGAGCTGCTCCAGACCTCTGATCATCTTCATTGTCCTCCCCTGGACTTGCTCCAACATTCCACCTTCTTCTTATGTTGGGACCCCAGAACTGGATGCAATACTCCATGTGGGGTCTCACCAGAGCAGAGTAGAGGAGCAGAATTACCTCCCTTGGCCTGCTGGCTACACTCTTTTGATGCAGCCCAGGACATGTTTGGCTTTCTGGGTTGCAAGTGCACGTTGATGGGTCATGTCAACCTTCTTGCCCACCAACACCCCCAAGTCCTTCTCCTCAGGGCTTCTCTCCAGCCATTCTCCACCCAGCCTGTATTCGTGCTTGGGGTTGCTGTGTATGTGAGCTGTTGTTGGCAAATGTTTAACCTTAAGAATATAAGTTTGAGGAAGGAGGATGCTGGAGGGCAGTTGTGCTGGGATCAATGGCACTGTGGATACCAATCCTGTGGAAGTGCAAAGAAGAACACAGGCTTTGAAACACCGTGGGGAGCCTGGCTGAACAACATGCCCTGTTACAGCAAGCTCCAACCCTGACATGTGCCTGGCAAGCCCTGTTCTTTAGTGGGGACCAAGAGGGAGTTGTGAGGAGCCTCTACAGATGCTTTACAGGATTCCTTGTGTCCCCAAGCCTGGGAACTGCCTCCAAGGGCCGAAAGTGTCTACTCTATGACTTGGATTTGAAAACTGACATTTAATCTTGTTCTTTCAAAGCCTTGATGAATTATAAACCTGATCGAAAAAACACATTATAAAGTTTCAGATCACAAATTAATTCTATTCTTCCCATTCTCACAGCCCCCCAAATAACAGATGAGGTTTTTTGCCCCCCATTTAGCAACAAATACGAAATAAAGAAATGGAGACTCCTTTCATAGCCAAACATATTTGGAGTGTTTGAAGAAGACTTCTGCAGGGTATTAGGGCAGGCTGTCCAAATTCAGCCTTAAAGTGGGAAGCAGAATTAATGTATTGCTTCCTTGTGATTGTTTCACACCACTGACTGGTCAAGTTTGTTATTTATCTGTGCAAGTACTGGTTACTGTTGCCTAAGTTAATGGGCATATTTATTAAACAGTATTAAGTGCTAATCACATTTTTACTATGTTATGTCAAATGCACTGAGATCACGAGGGCATTTTTTATTACTGTTTAGGGAAACAAAAATGAATTCCCTGATCCTACCCCTTCATATGCATTTTGCATGTTACCTGCTTGAGCTCCACTTCTCACTGGTGACAAGAGGCAGCACATGAGGCTGTTGGATATCAAACTCAGCTATGCAGATTACTGTCTGTCCAAAACTGCAGGTGCAATAAACTTACTTTGAGCCTCAGGTCACTTGTGTGAGGCAATCGATCCGTACTGTTGGAGGCCTATTTCTTCAGCTCTGTTGAAAACAGAGTTCCTTTGGCATGTACCACCAAAACAGCTGGCCTTCAGGGATGATACTACTTCATGCTCTTGGACTTGTTGTTGAAAGACAATATTAGGGAAAAGTCTTCAGTTGAAGGGGAGAAGAAGTTTCTAAGGACTCCACAGTTTTTAACAAAATTTACCTAACACAGTTCAAGATGTCAGATCTTTTTGTAGAAGCTGGGCTGTCCTTCACCTCGTAGAGTCTGTTCTTCCTCAAATGAAATACCCAGACACCTCTGTGGATGTCACCACTAACCACAAGAAGAGGTCTCTGCTCATTACCAGCAGAAGGAAAGATGCTTTTGCCGCACAGGCAAGGGTTTTTCCTATAAGGGGCAGGGGAGGCTTTCTTGCAATACTGGATCTGCCCTTCCAAAGACTGGTTTGTAGGACTAAGGAAACTGCAGGATACAGAATGACTGTTTGGGTAGTCAGATTTAGAAGAGAAAATCAGTTCTAAAGGGAAAAAACCTCCACATTACCTGTCAGGAGGAAGAAAAATAACTCTAAGACTGCCACATGATTTGTGGTGACATAACCAGTTACAGAGTTAACACAGCAATATAATAAGTAAACAGTCTTGTTTAATATTGGCTTGCATGGAAGGTCTGCACATACTTTACTGCTGATACAGCCCAGTCAGACTTTGATGAGGAAAGACAACATTATTATTATTTCCAGTTTTAAAAGTGGGTTCTGGTTTGTGGATGTCCAGTATGTATCTCCTTGAGCTTCACTGCTGCTGTGCACCGGTCTCATCTTGATGGTGGCACTTCTGAATAGTGAAGCTGGATGTCTCCAGCCTGCAGCACCCTCTCAAAGTCAGTGCCTGCTTTTGTTGTCAATAGTCAGTCACACACACACCTCTCTCAGGTGACAAAGGAGAAAGGTCACCTCTCTCCAACTTTGCTGTCACAGGTTTTTCCCAGCAGAGTCTCAGCAAGTGCTGTCTCCTGAACTGACTGTGGGGGACTTGCCCCTTGGAAGTTGTTTCTACATATGATGTTCCCCTTCTGCACACTTTCTTGCACTTCTCCCATGAAGGAGTGGACCTCATGGTCCATATGTATAACTCTGCTGGAGGAAAGGAGGCAGAGCTGATACAAGTCAGAAATGATGAATAGTTGAAACAGGGGGGTAATGTGATATGCTGAGGGAGCAGTAGCTTCTTCCTTATTAGCATAGGGGGATGTAGGGTAAACATTGTGGGCCATGTGCTAGAGAAGAGCTACACCACCCCAGCAGGCTGCCTTTCCATCCAGCCCTTGTGAGGATCTGCCACCGCTCAAGATCCGTTCATTATACATGAAACCCAGAACTGCAACCCTTCACACATCCCTGCCACAGGCCGTGGAGAGAGGAGACGCAATCCACAGAAGGGAGATGGGGTGCAGGTGTCCTCTTGTTGTGCAGTCACTGCAGATGGGGACAGGCCCTGGCTGCCTCCTTCTCTTGTCACTGGAAATTTCAAGGCTTTCTGACTTTAACAGTCTTCCCAAGTGTTAGCGACACTATCTCTTATGCCAAGGCCTTCAGAAGTGTCCATTCCCTATGTTGTTCTGCCCCCTTTGCTGTAGAGCAAGCAGCTGTCCTGCCGCCCGAGGGACAGGTTCGCTCAGGAACAGAGAGGTTCTTCTGTCCCCCAGAAACTGATGAGCTTTGGTGGGCCTCACATAACCTACTGCATCTGTCA